AATGGGAGCATGTATAAGGAGAATAAGACCGGGCCTAGAATAGAGCCCTGAGGTATTCCACAAGTGAGTGTAGCTGGGGAAGAGTATTTGTTACCCAGCATCACTGAATATGTTCTGTTCTCTAGGTAAGAGGCAAACCATTTTAGAGCAGAGCCTTGAATGCCAACACATGTCTTTAGACGGTTTAATAGGACTGTGTGGTCGACAGTGTCAAATGCTGCGCTCAGGTCTAAAAGGATTAAAACTGTACTTTTTCCAGAATCAGCAGCTAGAAGCACATCATTGAACACCTTCAGTAGAGCAGACTCTGTGCTGTGGAAGGCCCTGAAACCAGACTGATATTTGTCCAGAATATTATGCATGTCTAAAAATGAGGATAATTGGTGGAGAACAATCTTCTCAAGAACCTTAGACAAAAATGGCAGCTTAGAGATTGGTCTAAAATTGCCAAGAACTGATGGATCTAACCCAGGTGTTTTTTTTTAGAAGCGGCTGGACAACACCTTTTTTAAACAAGTCAGGAACAGTTCCATATGAGATACTGCCATTTACAATAGCAAGGATGTTGGGGCCGACTGTCTTCAGCACATCTCTGAGAAATGGTGTAGGTAACATATCCAAGGGGCACGTAGTTGGTTTCATGTGCATTATTATATCAGTGAGATGGGATAATGAAACCGGTTTAAATTCTGAAAAAAGGAATGAACATGTAGGTGGTTCAGAGGGGTCTTGGGATGGGAGCGGGATATGTGCTCGGATATCATTAATTTTTTCAGTAAAGAATTTTTGAAAATCCTCAGGCGTGTGTGGGGCAGTCTCAGATATGACTGATGTGGTGGGATGCATGACAGAGTTGATTGTATTGAATATAACTTTAGGATTACCAGACTTCTAGACCAGTTTAATATTTATTATATTTATTTAGCAGACAGGGCAAAGTATTTAAACAGATTAAGGGGAGTTACTATAGTCCTTTTGCTGATAAATGGGAACTTTGTGTTTAATCAGGAAAACATGTTTTTCACACATATTATTTGCTGGGGATTAATTAAGGATATTTGTTTGATTTGGGCTCGATCAGAGACAGAACTACAAGCTTTAAATAACATGCATTCCAATATTAAGCTATTGTTAGGTTATAGCAACACTATAGGAATTCCATATGTGGAAGACAACTAAAAAGGATATAGTGCTCATAACCTTGCTGTAAAAATAAAGGCATTTTAATTTTATTTTGAAAAGACCTGAAGTTTTGGATATTTAATCCAAATTATTTGTTCCAGTTTACTGATTCTTTATTTTACTCAGCTTTCATTGTTTCTGAGCGCTAAGTGCAATAAAATGTTTTAATGTGAAAGTGAAAGTGAAATTGTTCTCTATAATTTGCTTGTATGAACCAGAAAAATGCACAAAAAACTGGACACTTGTTTCAACCTTAAACCCAATGATGGCTGTTTCCATCAAACCTGTCATGTATCTTAGACATTATTTCATCGAAACAGCCCTGAGCAAGGAGAGAAGAATGTCCCCTGTAGCTATCTAGAAATAAGAAAAAATTAACTGCAAGTTCTGTACAAGCCTCTATTATTATTGAAAAGCTTCATTTGTTTTCCAAAAATTGGCTTTTTGTCCTAAGGAATAAGTTAATCTCGCTGTTATATTACATGCTAAGCAAACATAAAGCCTAACCAACGTAATTTAAGGAACAATGTTTTTGCAGATTATTTAGGATGTGAATAAAGTTTGATTTGGTTTGATCAAAATTTTAGCAAAAACTGAAAATATGCTAAAATCAAAATTCAAAATCTAGATATCACTGAAAAGAGTCGCATGTGACTTGCAATTTGTAGGGAGAGTCTGTGGGTGTGTCCTCAGAGTCCCATCTTCAATCTAAAATGCTCAGACCTTTAAAGCGTCTGTCACTTTTGCAGAGAGCAGCTCAGCAGAATAATTCAGAATTCAGATAATAAGGCATTGAGATAAAAAAACAAACAAAAAAAAACCATATATACATATATGTTGTTTTTTTATTATTATTTTTATTTTTTAGAAAATCTATTTTAAGTAATCAAAAGCAATGGGAGCTTGTCAGAGCTTTAGGGAAATGTGTGATCGTGAAAAGAACACCAATGTTCGTCTGAGTCTTCCAGCTGTTTGCATTGTGTGGCAGACTGCCATGATCATCTTGTTTGGGGTTTTTATACGTTATAAT